AGACCTCAAGTGATTCTCCTTAAAATGTGTTATCATTATAATCATTTACTGTAGACCTCAAGTGATTCTCCTTAAAATGTGTTATCATTATAATCATGTACTGTAGACCTCAAGTGATTCTCCTTAAAATGTGTTATCATTATAATCATGTACTGTAGAACTTCAGCAGTAAGTGTCAAGACTGACTAATGAGTCAGTTTAGGATATTGTTTTTTAATATTTCTTGAACAGAGTTTGAAATTTGTAGATTTTTCCCATATATTTGCTTCTTACTTTCGAAAGATCATACAACTTCTTTTTTTTTTTTTTTCTTTTCAGTAAAATCAGAATACTTCTCAAGAAATATCTTGTTTTTGCACACTGTAGTTTACTTGGTAGTTTTATATTCTAATTTTTATATAATCATTTGCATTATTGATCACCGAGATCAAGTTTCCAAATTTTACGAGCCAAGTATGACCTAGTGATTAGCATGGTGTACTTTGGAGCCATGATGCTCCAAGAGTTAGCAATCAGTGCTGGTGACTGGCTCCTTTTCCTCTGGTCTGTTAGCTTAAAGTTAGGGATGGTTACCACAGATGACTGTTATATAGCTTTGCATGAATATCCAAAACAAAACCAATTTTATATCTAATTATTCCCAAGTACCTTTGAACTTGCACTGAAAATAGAGTGAAAACGTGTCAACCAATTTCTTGACTAGAATTCCAGGGGAACTTTCGTCACATTTTTATTTCTTCACTTCTCCTGCATGTGTAATTCAATTTAAGTAAAATTTAACAAAGGCTTTTGGCTTTTGTTTTTGAGAGAGCCAATCATCAACTGCTTCAACTGAGCACAGGATTAATGGGTTTTAGGGACTTGTACAAATTTAGGAGTAACTTTGAAAGTTTCACATTGATTACTTCACATTATTATATTGTGTATGTGTATTGATAGTTGTAATTCTAACACAAGTGTCTCTGAAATATTTATTATTGATACACACGTGAATGAAAACATGCATTATATAATTACCATTCATAAGGTATTGATTTTTCATGATAGACTATTGATTGTTAAATATGTAATTATAAAAGCATGTAATACGAGTATATATACCTCTTCATTATAGTGCTAATATTTCAAAAGTTTAATCTGGCCTGTGCAAGTTTGTGACATATTTAAAAAAGAATTATTCTAAGTGCTCACATAGTTTTAAAAATGCTTTTTTTCTCCCAAACAAAAATTTGCGATTACATTCTAGAATTAATTTAGCTAATTTGTAAAAATGCATAATCAGAATGACCAAATTTTTATAAGATTCATTTTGTGAGGGAAAAAGTTGATGCATTCTTGAACTTGGAGAAATTTATTTCTCATAAAGCAGTAGATGAAAAGTAACGTCAGTTTTTGTTTCATCTGAAGATTGTGTTTCCCGTATATGTGTTTTAAGAGTTCATAGTGAGTAGATATTAGTTTGAAGTTCTTGAACGAGTCACAGTGTAATAAAGCCACCTAAGTAGAAGATATTATATTTGTTGAATTATTTCAATGTTCTGTGTTAACCGTATATTAGATAACAATGTGGAAACCTACATGGTGGTAAAATTTGAATTTAATTAGTAGAAACATATTTTCTGTGTCAAGATTTCACATATGATATTTACAATGGAATAATTTAAATTCCAATTTTTTATTTTTTTTGTGCTAATTTTGTAAATATTAAATAAGTTTTAATATTTCAAAGTGGCATGGAAAAGAAATAACCACGGTATTAGCACATCACATTAATGAGTGTGTGAGGAATTACTCAACCTAAATTGTGGAACCGTTTTGAACAACACAACTCTGTTGAAATTGTATTTACATTTAGAAAATGTGAAGAATTAAGACAGTTTCCAAGAAGACCATTTTCTAAGAAACTGAATGACTTTAGGATTATCATAGACAAACTATTAAGATATAAGCCTTGTAGTAGGCTCAGGCTAATTAAGATCATTATGTGCAGGAAATGTATAAATAAAATAGATTTTTTAATGTTGTGTGTAGTTTCTATGCTTTCTCTTCTTTCATAAATCAATGTTTGTTTTCAGGGAGAGTTTGTTGAAGATGGGACAGAAACCCACTTTAGCGTGGGTGATTATCAGGCCTACATCAAAGCCGTAAGCACTGGAAACAAGCGTAAAGGAATAGTTCATAGCTTGTTTGTTAATGATGTAGAAATTCCGGAGAGTGTTGAGTGAAGGAAAAATGTGTCCTAGATCTGAAAACGTTTATACTATGACATAATTTTGTTGTGACTCGAGTCAGTTAATATGTATTCTCCAAGGTAAAAACTATGATGCTAATTCAGATATCTGAGTCTTAACAAGACATATTTATCACATCAAACTGAGAAGTCACTGGAAAACTAGTCAGTAATTTTTTTTTATGCACATTATTTCAAAAGAGGTAAAATTCCTTTGTATCCAATTGAATAAAAAGCTTGGTTAAGCAGCTGACTGAGAGACCAGTTAAAAAAATCAGCACAGAATGAGAACCATTTAAATCTATGTGTATAAATAAATGTTAATGTTGCATGTGTACTTAAATTTGAAAAAGATGAATATACATTGCACTGACATTTCATCTCTAACTCCTGAAATAAAGTTGTAACAGCACTTAACAGTGTTGCATTTTGGAAGGAAAATCTCATTGTAACAATCTGATATTTCGTAGCAGGCAAATGTTTTACAACATTTTAAGCAACAAAATTAAAGCCTTTCAGAAATCTTTATTTAAGGTACCTCGATTTTACTAGTTAATCATTAATAAGAAACAAACAGTTTTAGACATTGTTAAACTGGGGAGATATAGTTCTGTATTTTTTGTTTGTAATAAAATCTGTAGTACATAACAAACAAATGTAGTTTTAAACACTATTAAACTGGGGAGATATGGTTCTGTATTTTTTGTTTTTAATAAAATCTGTAGTACATAACAAACAAATGTAGTTTTAAACATTGTTAAACTGGGGAGATATGGTTCTGTATTTTTGTTTTTAATAAAACCTGTAGAAAAATACTGAGCTTTATATTTACTGCTTTATATTATGTGACAAATATTACAAAATTTAAGAATGCCACTAATCAGTTATACATAATATAGAACTAGTGTTTAATAATTACATAATGCAAGTCTTGCTGTTAGGCTATTTGTGGATGAGCTCAAGTGATAGTAGCATTTTTGTGTATGTGTTTTATTGGAATAGAGTATGCCATAAACAAGATTACTGGCAAAACTCCACAAAAAACTGAATCACAGGCTTTAGTGTTCAGATAACACTGTAACATAAAATAATTACTACCATGTTCAGATAACACTGTAACATAAAATAATTACTACCATGTTCAGATAACACTAACATAAAATAATTACCACCATGTTCAGATAACACTGTAACATAAAATAATTACCACCATGTTCAGATAACACTGTAACATAAAATAATTACCATCATGTTCAGATAACACTAACATAAAATAATTACCATCATGTTCAGATAACACTAACATAAAATAATTACTACCATGTTCAGATAACACTGTAACATAAAATAATTATCACCATGTTCAGATAACACTGTAACATAAAATAATTACTACCATGTTCAGATAACACTGTAACATAAAATAATTACCACCATGTTCAGATAACACTGTAACATAAAATAATTACTACCATGTTCAGATAACACTGACATAAAATAATTACCACCATGTTCAGATAACACTGACATAAAATAATTACCACCATGTTCAGATAACACTGACATAAAATAATTACCACCATGTTCAGATAACACTGACATAAAATAATTACCACCATGTTCAGATAACACTGACATAAAATAATTACCATCATGTTCAGATAACACTGTAACATAAAATAATTATCACCATGTTCAGATAACACTGTAACGTCAAGTAATTACTACCATACTTTTATTCTTAGATTAGGTTAAGAAATACAAGATACATTGAAACAAAAATTTTATTTGTTGACTTTGACTTAAAACATTTATTCTTTGGGTGTTTATAAAGATCAGAGATATTTGATCTTTCTTTGGGT